TAATAATAATAATAACAATAACAATAATAATAATAATAGTAATAATAATAATAATAATAATAATAATAATAATAATAAATCATTGATCAAGTGCTGGAGGCATAATTATTCATTCAATTAATTGACGGTATATGGATGAATGATATTTTTATAATGAAAATGTGTACTGATTATTATGTTACTCTTAATTAAAGATGGTAAATTTCACTTACTTTACCTTTCATATCGAGATACTTTTCGTTTACATTTGATCCTTCTTCTTTACCATATCATTAATTTCCTTTCATATTTCAATAACTAATTTCATCATTTCTCTTTTATTCCAAATGATCCTACACTAAATGTAATTATTTTTGCCAAAATAAAGCAAAGGGACAATTGTAAACAACATATGCATCCATCCCACTCAGAATTAATTGCTTTTTTTTTTCTGTCAAAATCTTTGCATGAAAATCATTTCGATGATTATTAACTGTTCAGAAATTATTGTTAATTATTTTTAATCAGGATGTTATTCATTCTTTAATGATAAGATTAGAATTAAACTTATAATTATTGTTAGTGCAGAAATACTTGAATACTGTTGATTTCATTGATTTATTCCAATTAGTTGATTAATATTTTTTAGGAATTCCTTATCATTGCATTGATATGTTGAAATTTTGATCTAATCAAATAAATAGTGCTATTTGATGGAAATTATATCCTTTCATCCTTATGTGAATGTCTAATTTTTTGGCTTATCTATATGGTCACTTTCTTCCAAATGACCAATAATCCTCGCCGTAATTTAACATTTCATATTGAAAGGCATTCCGCAGTTAATGTTAAGGTTGGATACACAAGCGTCAGTGGAAGCTAACCCCCATGAGAATTTTTATTGAGTGGGTTTAATTTTAGTTAAATTAAAAAAGTGGATGAAATAGGGTATTTGCGGTTGTTTCGGTTACTTTTTTTTTTAAATTCATTTTAAATTTGATAAAGTATCAGTGTACATTTCCATTTTTTTTTTCCTTTTATTACGAAAGAAATTGATTTCACATCTCTAAAAAGTGAGAAAAAAAGTTTCTTCCATGAACTCATTTATTGCTTGAAAAAGAAGAGATTTGTCTAGGTCTGAATGATTTGGTAGGTAAGTATACTTTTAATAATCTAAACATGTCGAAGGTGCAGATCTTTTTCAATATCATAATTTAATTACTTAAGAGGAAGCATGAATTGTCTTAATCAATGAAGATTTACAATGACATTTCTTTGTGGCATTTTCCGTTGAATTAGTAAGATATTTATGGAGGCAAATTTCAAGCCTTAATTTACCAATTATTCAATGCAATGAAATTTCAAAAAAAAATTTTGCAATGCCTTATATTTATCATAATGATCATTTGGTGTTATTGCTTGCATATTTTGAAATGTAAAACCTGAAAAGCAATGCTTCATTTCCTGTTTTTTTTTTTTTTTTTTTTGAGTTATAAAGATGAGTGTCATTTTCATGAAAAATAATGACTGATCTTTCGTTCTTCAATTTCACTGAAAAAGATAACTGAACTTGATTGTTTCGTTCAATCTAACATTCCTCTTTCCATCAATTTCATATGTTTTTTTTCTTATTTTCTTCATTTTCTTCAATAGTAACACCTCTTTTTTTTCTTTCTTACAAATATTTCTATCTACCTGTTGACATTTATTGATTTTTCTAAGATAAATAAAAACTTCAATCATATTTCATTGATTTATAAAATTTCAACCTTTTAAATTATTTTATTAGTAGTTTTATTTATGTTGAATGATTGAATGAATGGATTGATTTAATGATTAAAAAAATTTAAGGAATAATAAGAATTCGAAATTCTGACCTCATATATCCGTTTTATTATTCCAGTCAGTTCTATGCTAACCATTTATGCTTCTGTATTTTCCAATCCTTTCCGGTTAAAAAGGAAAAAGTATTAGCTGTTACATATCTATCCATAGAATGTTTTTTTTCTATATTTTCCAGTTCAATTTGTCGATGTATGATTTAGTGATCATTAATATTTTATTTTTCTTTTTATCTCTCTTCTACTTCAACATCATTATTCTCTTATAGTTTTTTCCACAACTATATTTTCCATTTTCTTCATTAGCATATCCATAGATGTTGTTCAATGTTAAGTGAATGGAATATTTGATTGAATATTGGATGAAAATAAGCGAGAGAGAACAACAACTTTTCATGAATGGAAGAAGAGGAGGATGGCCTTGGCTTCATTAATTTTATTTGCTATTAAATAGCTTCTCTCTGCTTCTATTGGTTTCTTTGCTTTAGTCTCCAGCAATTATTCGATGGCATCTTTAAATGATTTCTACGCTTGGGCTAGGCTAAAGCCAAGCTGGTATATATATATATATATATATATATATATATATATATATATATATATATATATATATNTACTACTAC